AACTCTTCTCAAATGTGCTAAACGTCTTATGGATTGAGTTAGAGCTTCTCTAATTGATCTTATCTAAGTTGAAATGGTGGTCCCTCTTCCTGTTGTGACCTCCTGATCCAGTTTCCTCTCTATTGTTCCCTCTTTTTAAAACTTATTCACCGTTCTCCTGGTGGTTCTTGAATAGCCTTTGAAGATGGAAACCAGAATATGAATGATGGTAATATTACTGAAAACTTCAATGATCTTTTCTCTCTCAGCATTGCTCATTTGAGAAGACAATGTGACTGACACAAAACGATTTTGTCCTATTCTCTTTCTAGTTGAATAACTCAAAGAATTTTTCAGTGATTCTAACGACAAATAGTGTCAAAATGGCTAAACGTCTTATCTGCAAACCTGGGGTTTAATGGATTTTTAGATATTAAACATTTTTGAGGAGATGGACAGTTATGCTGTTACACGATTTGGACAATTTTGCCGTTACACCCGATATACACACACATACATATATATATATACACACGCACACATGCATATATATATACACACACATGCACACACACACACGCACATATATATATATATATATGTGTGTGTGTGTGTGTGTGTGTGTGTGTGTGTGTGTGTGTGTGTGTGTGTGTGTGTTCAAATCCAGTCGAGGAAGTTGCCTACTCTCTCAACTAATGATCTCAGTAAGTGCATCTAATTTTGCATCTCCATCTATTAGTAAAATCAGAGGCTTGGTTCTCTAACCTTTGTAGAGCAACCAGTCTAAAAGAGCGATGACTATGGATGCAAAAATGTGGGGAAAACCACAAGGAATCACCCCAAGACTTTTCCCCAAGAACAATCACGCCATTTGACGATTTTCTTAAACGCCTTGTCCTTTCAATGGTGCAGTTGATCATGACTCGCCATCGATCAATAGCTACATCTACCGCAAGGAAAACTGGTTCTCTGTGTTGCGCCAGAAGGTTTTTCTCCCCTGAGTCCATCCTTCAAATCTACAAATCTACCATTCGTCCTTGAATTGAATACTATTGCCATATATGGTCTGGTGCCCCCGCTGTTCATCTCGAGGTTATCGACAAAATCCAAAGACGGATATGCACTGTGATAGGTCCTGACCTGGCATCTCGACAGCAGTCACTTTCTCCCAGATGTGATGTGGATTCTCTCTGTCTTTTCTACAAATATTTTCATGGCAGCTGCTCTGACAAGCTATTTTCACTGGTGCACCAACTGCATGAATTTATTCGTGCTACTAAGTTGGCATCTCAGTACCATCCTTTTACTATCGAAACAGTTAAATGTAACCGACTCTTCTACTCCAACAGCTTCTTCTTTCGCACTTCCCGACAATGGAACTCCCTTCCTCCTATTTGTTTCCCTGATAGTTATAATCTTCAAATATTCAAATTTAATGTCAATCGACATTTTCTGATGCATTGATCTGATCCCCGTCCTTTTCGATATCCTTTCCTCTAACAACCCTTTTTACTCTTGTTCTCAATCCTCTGTAACCCTTTGCGTGCTAGTGGCACTCCCGCCTTGCTTGGGGTGAAATTCTTTAAAAATTACCTTTTCTTTAATATCTGTAAATTATCATGTACTCTTTAGAAAATTACTGGAATGGTTTCTTGTTGTCTTCTCCACAGTTTGGAATTCAAAGTTTTCCTTCTCTTCGCTTTGTTGCTTCAAAATATAAATTACTATTTAACCAATAGATGGAGATGGGGAGAGGTGATTGAATCATTCATTTCCCAATATCATTTGTACGAAAGTGAACACAATAGATTAGGCTGGAACCTCTCATTCCATTTTCCGCGCCGATATCCGTTAGCCTACCTACACATCCTCATTCAGGATTTATTGACGTTAAATAAAAGGAAGTTGTTGAGATATTGAAGTGATATATCAACATAAAAAAAATTCAACTATTTAAATTGAGTTCTATCAAATATTTTTAAAAAGTGAATATAAAAAAAGTAGTTTTTAATACAACGGAAAGTTATTAAAAATAACATGGAAATGTAATATAAACATGTATAAACATGTATAAACATGTATAGCCTTTCTACGTCAGCTTTTTCGAACCATTTATACATTTATTCAAAACTGAATTACGTCTACAATTTTCCTTTCCCCAGTGGAAATTCAATATAATTTTATGCACTTCTTCCATATTGCCTTTTTTTATTTCTAAATAGTAAAGATTTGCTATACTAAACCATATTTCACACACACACATTCACTTTCATAGATGCTAATAAACATAAATTTCACTATTAATTGCCTGCGAGACCTGCTTGCAAACTACAATACTCTAAAGCTCTGCTTTAGAGTGATGATTATCAATTTTGTCAGGCATAAATTGTTTACCCCTGTGGTAACCCTGTGCCCTGATAAGCCAATTTTGGTAAATATCTATTTAGGATAGAATCTATAATTTCTAAAAATGTGTCCATTATCTATAGCCTTAAGTTTTATCAAGCAGCATTTTCTTAGCTGCCAATTTTTTGTTTCGGAGTAATTATTCTTAAATTAACTTTCTTCATTTTTAAGTGTTTAAGTTTTGGATTAAATAGATTCGTTATTATTAGGGAATTAATTTTTGAATGATGAGTCAACTAACCAAAGTAAAAGTGTAATTGAAAAGTAGGAAACTGTCTAGAATTAGTTTATGAAAAACAAAAAAAGAAATAAAGAAGTTGAAAACAGAAAAAGAAAACCTAAATTTCTTCAAAGAATCGAAAATTTTCCTTTCCCTTCGGCTACAGCCATTTAAAACGAAGGTGATTACGTTTTTGATAAATAATATTTAACTAAATTTAACTGACATTGTTTTTATATATTCTTTCTGGTAAAAGATAATTACTTTCCGCGCAATCTAATATTTTCAGACCTGCATAAATAAACATGTCTTATAATTTAAAACAACTTGGGCACGACGATAAAAAGCAACAATTAGGCGAAAGATAAACTAGTCAAAATTTAATCATAGAATGATAACATCGTAATGAAAGATTAATTACCATTACTTTTAATAAGTTCAGCAGACAGGTAAATTGATCACAGACACGCGCACGCGCGCAGAGGTTCTGTTATTTGTATCTATCACAATGTGTCTGATAGATTGACCAACGGAACAGTTCTTAATGGGATATAACTATGTTACATATTCAGCTTTAAATACCAAATTAAAAAAATATTTTCTTTTTATTCATTACTAATCTCATCTCTTACGATCCATGTTTGAGTGTCAAACAGCTCAGTTCCTAGGAACGGACTGCCCAGACACCAGCACATATGATTTGATTATAGTGGTGAAGGAGACGACCCTCCGCAAATTTTGAATTCAGAGTTGTCCTTCTCAGTTGCCATCCAAGTCTATAGAACCCAGTCTGTCCTTAGCGGGAGGGAGAAGAAGAGTCTTAATACCTTTCCCAAGGGTATTAGCACGTAATTGAAATGTAATGGATTGGACTGGAATTCGAACTCAGCTCTCTGATTCCTCAACCCGACGCTATCCACTACACCACCGTGCCTACATAGGGGATGCAAAAGTAGGTATACATTAAACCCGCATCTACAACGTTAATATACCAATGGTATAATACTTTGTGTGTGTGTGTGTGTGTGTGTGTGTGTGTGTGTGTGTGTGTGTTAAGGAAAAAGACAACAGGAAAACTGTAGATTTAGTCGACGCGTTCCGTCCACTGTGGACTTTTTCAAGGCAAAAACAAATTGGATTTATTGAAACAAAGTATCTATAAGCAACAAACAAAATGTCGTTAGCAACTAGAAGAATTTAGAAACGCTATTGTATATTCATATGGTCAACTGGAAAATTACGTCAATTACTTTATGTTTGAAGGGAATATTTTCGCATGTAGAAATATTGTTTGTATTAATGTGTTGACAGTTTCAACACTATATTTTTATTTCTTGATATATTTGTTGCGTACGTTGGCTTGGGAGAGTAATGATTCTGTTAGGAAAGGTGATATTGGTAAAAATATTATAGGGGTCAATCCTTGGCCCAAACCTCTTTTTGATTTACATAAATGATCTGCCTAAGAATATTCTCAGATCATTTGTAAACATCTATGCCGATGATACGGGGATATTCCTGTGCACCTCTGAAATTCTTGTTGATTAGAAATTTGCAGCTGATCTCTCTTCAGATCTGGCACGAATTACCGAGTGGGAAAAAATCTAGCTGGTTACATTCAATGCCTCGAAAGCTAATTATATTCCATCATCGCCTATCTGACACGGAACTACCGCCAGTCACGATAAACGGATGCCGGAGAGGCACCGTGCCTTGAGAGGCTGTTGGGCCTTAAAGTCACACTTGATCTCAAGTGGAATGCGTACATACGACCTAAAGATGCAAGTAAAATATTCGGCTCCCTGTACAACCCCAATGAGTATCCGACTCCACGCGTTATCCTCTACCTTTACGAGAGCCAGATTAGGCCAAAAATGGGATACTGTTGTTATATTTGGGCGGGATCTGCGCAGACTGTACTATCCGGCCTTGATAGAGTTCAAAAGCTTTCCCAGAGTCCTTGTGGGTGACAAATTATTTTCCACTCTCCAACCTCACAGGCATGTGACATATCTATCTATCTAGCTAGCTAACTAGCTAGCTATCTATTGTTGACCATGTTCGCCAAATCTATGAATATAGAATACATCGCAGTACGTAATCTGTTCAATAAAATAACGTTAAAGATTAATACTCACGAGTCAGACACTCTACTGGATCTGACTATATCGCCAATACTACCAGCAGCTGTACCGTAATTCTTCACTCTTCGATATCAGAGGTTGGCAGTGAATATTCGGAAAAAAATGGTTGCCTTTATACACGTCGCATTGAATATTTTGAGCTTTCTGATTGGTTAACCCTTCTATTGGTGAACTATAAAATGAGTCAGCTCATTTTGGCTGGCTCACTAGTACTAAGGTACCCAAAAAATTCTATCTATCTATCTATCTATCTAGATAAATAGATAGATAGATGATAGATAGATAGATAGATAGATAGATAGATAGATAGATAGATAGATATTTGAGGTTGAGAAGATGAATATGAAAAAAACTTGCTGCTGGTTCCTGAAATAATTTTATATATATATATATATATATATATATATATATATATATATATATATATATATATATATGTGTGTGTGTATGTGTGTGTGTGTGTGTGTGTGTGTGTGTGTGTGTGTGTGTGTGTGTGTGTGTGTGTGTGTGTGTGTGTGTGTGTGTGTGTGTGTGTGTGTGTACAATGTGTGTGAGTGTGTGTGTGTGTGTGTGTGTGTGTGTGTGTGTGTGTGTGTGTGTGTGTGAATGTATACAATTAACAAATATTTACCCATACAGTGTTTGGAAGATTATTAAAAATGATAAACTCGCTTCTCTGAAGGGAAAACTACTTTGAAAAGGTTAAAGGGAGATAATTTGTATGGTATCGACCAGATTAAAATTTATACTTTATATATGGGTACGTGGCTGAGTTGTCGATTCTTCAAATATGTCACTTGATTATATCGGCTTGCATGCGATCCTAGCATGAGGCACCAGAGAAAGTTGCCTGAAAAATTTGACTTTGCTAACCTGTTGTGACCAAGTAAATGGTGAAGAATAACAAAACAAGAGGTTGCAGATAAATAGTGTATTGAACAGTAAATACAACAGAAGAGTGTTACACGACTTGGGAGTGTGTGTCGGTTGACTAGTGTTCAGTCTATATCATTATTTTCCCCCTGAGACCTACTTTTCCGAGTAACTTTATACTCAGTGGAAGAGTCCACCATAGCCTCATTAGAGGTAGGACGACACAACATAACCAAACTTTACTCTGTAGCGAAATAAAACGTCAGGCTATATAACGGTTCCATGTAGGATACAGGTTAGATTAGATTCCTGTCAGAGGAAACATTTTCTATGAAATTTCTCTGACATTCAGACCGGTAAATATAGTTAATACTGTTTATTAAAAGCAGAGCATTTACTTAATATTTGTATCTATAAAAATAATCCATAAAAAAGAAAATATATCGGTATATATATATATATATATATATATATATATATATATATATATATATATTATAATTATTTTTAAAAATATGATTCCATCGTTACATAAGAGTTCTCATGTTTCTAAAACAGTTTTTGAAACATGAGAACTCTTATGTAGCGATGGAATCATTTTTTTTAAATAATTGTAATTTAGGTTCTACTTTTGTATTGAGCACTGTTTTTAAAAATAAAAACAAAAATACTGTTATTAACCTAACGTGTTCTTTCCTATTTTTCTATATATTTGCACACACACACACACACACACACACACACACACACATATATATATATATATATATACGAAGTTTGATAAAAAAAATTATCGGGACTGGTGCTATTAAAAAAATTCCAACTTTAAAAAGGCATTCTCGCTTCAAGAGTAAATAATTTTCTATAAGACACCACAGGTTAAAAGCTGGACATATATGCTAATTGTTCTGTTGGAGAAATTATTTAACGCATGTATAACTAATGTAATATTTTCGTCTTGGTGTGGACTGTGATTTAGTATGCTAGTCCACCAATAAATCACCACCAGGATATTATTGACCTTCCAATTGTCTAGTATCTTATTTGATATATCTGAACTTTTGCATCACATTTGATACCCATGTGTTTGATTGCAAATTCGTAACCTAAAATTTATGCCCATCTCGAAAGAGACGGGATGACATTCTGTTGATTGAAATAACGAAATGTTTGAACCAATTTCGTCTCACAGATAAGGGAAATAGCAACTTCGCCGAATCTGGCACAAACCCAAACCTCTGACCGGGATTAAAATTAGAAGCAATAGCAGGCAGGACTAAGCTGCAATCAATCGCTCTCCTCTAGCCACCACTGCTTATGTACATGTAAGAAGGATTATATAACCGTGTATGATTTCAGTTTGATATTTGAGACATCCCATTCGAAAAAGAAAATGATAAATCTCAGAGTCTCCATCTTATAAACCCTGGGAGTCGTGATTTTTTTTTCTTAAAATGGATATCTCAGATAGACGTCATACACGGCCACATAACCATCTTTATACGAGTAAAAGCATTGGTAGCCAGAGGAGAGCGACTGCTTGGAACTGAGTCCCACATGTTGTTGCGTCTAAGCTTCTAAGTTTAATCTTCATTGAGAGCTTCACTGTCTTGGCGCTTTTTTTTTATAAACAAGATATGAGATGTAATATAAAGTATATAATATGGCAAATAGGATACTGGACAACTGAAAAAGGAAGTCTTGGTTTATCGTTGAGATATCTCACCGAGATATCAGTTACTTTAATGCCTATTTGCTTGTCTTTTAGAAAACCTGTAAATTTGCTCCTCACTATTTTAATAATCAAATCCAATAATTTGTCATTGATCGTATAACTATAATGATAACATGGAATTAATTTTATGATAAACGGTCAGGTATATTATGCAGAAGGTTTCGTCTTTTTACTTAATTTTGCGAATAAATATTTATGGAATTAATTCTATGACAGGAAGGATTTATTCAACAAATATGTCAAAAATTTCATTCACTATAATGATTGAGGCACTGCAGTTTAGTTAAATTCCTAAACAGAATCAATCCCATCTACAAGAGAAAAATATCTTCTGTTGGCTACCTAACTATATTGGAATTCTCGGAAATAGAAAAGCTGATATAGCGGCAAGGAAATCCTTAAAAATGATCATTTCAAATTTGAAAATTCACTATATAGATTTCAAAGCAACTTTTCTAAACAAATGGAAAGAATTATGCAATTACCAGCCAGACCATCAAATTTACAAAATTAAATGTATTCTAGCAGAATGTCTAGGTCTCAGACTTTCTCGAAAAAAAGAAGTAAAAAATCAGAATAAGACTTACCTACAACATTTTCCTGAATGCACAACATATTATGTAGCATATACTATAAAACATTCTAACTGATTGTACAGCAATGATTTTATGACATGACTAGGACCATTTCAAGAAGATAAAAGTCGAGACTATATTATTCTACTTGAAGGCGGTTAGTCTATAACACAAATTATATCATTAATTGGGGACGGTGGATAGCAGCTCGGATTGAGGACTCGAAGAGCCGAGTTCGAATTCCATTCAAATCCATTACATTCATTTTCCCTTGGGAAAAGTATGAATCCTCATCTCCTCCCAGCTATGGATAAATTGCAGGACAGACTGGGTTCTATAGCCTTGAATGGCAACCTGTCTAGGAGAAGGAAAACTCTGAATTCAAAACCGGCCTGGAGAGGGGTGGGCTCTGTCAGGTTATCTTGCTCAAGAAACACCACTTCTACAGCGGCAACAGTATACAAGGTGCCCCAACGACCCTATAGGTCACGAGATAAAAAATATATCATTAATTAAGTTGGTTCTATCATTATCCAGTTATGCTTCCAATCCATAAATTTTAAATAATATTTTCGACATTTAATAAAAGAGTTGATATGCCGTTAAAACAGAACAATTAATCTATCAAACAGTAACACTCTGTAACAGGAAGTCATTAATTACATGCCATTAATTATGTCATTTATTTTAATGATTACATAGAGACTGACACACATAAGTTTAATAGTTCGTGGATGGAAATTATTATATTCAATTGTATTTCAGCGACGAATGTATCTGGTATATACTAGCAAGATTTCCCACTGACGTTATCACTACTCCGTCACTCGCCCGCGTTATTTTTGCTCAACCCTCAGCAACTGTGTTTCTGAGAGTAAGGGAAAACTGATATTTAATCACCAACTGTTTCAGTTGTTTGCCTAAAATTAGTTTAATCAATTTTCGGCAATTTGATTGTTCCCGGATAAAATATCAAAAAGAGATTCTCCATGAACAAGTTTTACTAACAGAAGAGTACTACGCCAGGCATCCTCAACATGAACACACACGCACATACATGTGTGTATGATATGTGAGAGTGATTATCCATTTTTCGCTTATTTATAATCTGAATATATGTCAGTGTGTGTAAATGTGTATGAATGTATGCTGTGGTGTAATAAATATCGGATCGAAATGAGAATTCGGTGAGCCGAGTTCGAATTCCAGTCGAATTCATTACATTCACTTATGCTTAAATACCCTTGGGAAAGGTATGAATCCATCTCTTCTCCCTCTAGCTATGGGTTAAACAGTAGGACAGAATGTGTACTATTGCCTTGGTTATCACGGAAAGCTAATGCGGGAAAATCTCTGTTTTGTCTGACATGATCGCCCAAGAGTGTATCATGTATGGCAGTTAACTGACTGATATATGTATGTATAACCTTTATTATAGCCTGTGTTGTTTATCTAACGGAAGAGTTATCTGTTGGTATTATGTAAGCTGTTTCTCCGTCAACTTGAGGCACCCAGTAAAGGCAAGTAAGGGTCTGCGAGGCTAAGTCACCATATATGACTCGGCGCAGGAACTCTCCAACTCACTTGTAGTCCTATATCGATGGTCAACAATTCGAAACAAATGGCTCTCTCAGCTGGCGCTTCAGAATACGCTGACTGCACGCCTGCAAAGTGTTAAATCCTCCCAGCCCACCAAATGAGGCGTCCTGTGTAAGACGATAAACTACATCCGACAGAAAGACCTCTGATGAGGAGATTTTGAGGAGCTTGAAACCACCTCTTAATTGCTGGCGTTCCCAGGTCCACCCTGATCCGAGATGGTAGCACCTGTTAGGGTCCCAGCTATGGGAAAATAGTCAACCCCCAAACTGGGGTCAAAACGCTATGTAAGTGTAAAAATAGATTTTAATACGAGCAATATATTTTTGTAAAAAATTATTACCAGCAATGAATTTTTAAGAAAAAATTATTACCAGCAATACATTATTACCAGCAATACATTTTTTTAAATCTATTACCAGCAATACATTTTTAAAGGAAATCTATTACCAGCAATAAGTTTTCGAGG